CACGCACGCACGCACGCACGCACGCACACACACACACACACACACAGAGAGCTGAGGTCAAAAACAGGCCAGGGTTTCTGCAGCGAACACAGAAGTAAACACGGCAAATGCAGCATGAAAGTAGAGAAGGCTGAAGTGAAATTCAACGGCACACAGAGGAAAGAAAAACAACAAACTGATGTCAAAGTTGTGCAAAATTACAAACAGAACGATGTTTTGAAGGAAAAGACGGAGGAAGCGGATGACATGAAGACATGGAAAAAAGCGTGACAGAATAAGCAGAAAGGAGCTGCAGACAGCTGCCTCAGTGATGTGACGGTATTCAGGCTTCAGTGTTTCAGCTCTGTGTGAATGGATTCAGTGTTGACACAACGTCTGTGGACACAAACATGCATATGGCTGTCAAGGTCACCTGTTGGTCAGAGTTCAACCTATCTGCTGCAACAACACAAGCCAGGAAAACACACCCACTTTTTCATTTCATTAAATATAAAATTATTTTAGAATAAAACCTTATGAAGTGCTGCACAAAAAGCACAGCATCTTCAAGCTGAAATGCAAACAGATATAAAAACTAACCCCACATTTTTATTTCTAACAGCTGTTTTGTATTAAAAATAATGATAATAAAATAAAATAAAATCCTAAATTGTTTTATGTTTCAAAAAAAATCATTTTAATGAAGTCATTAATCAATAATTTGTTTTGCTTCAAAGTTCAAACAAATGTAGCTTTTTAAAAATACCTTTAAGAAGCAGTTATAGTGAAGAATTTGAATGTAGAGTGACAAACAGAACCCACATCCATCAGAGTTATAACGGTAAATATTCTGAGCTGTATCCCCACTAACATCGTGTTAGACCAAAGTTAGCCAAAACAGAGGAGAAAAAGGCTAACAGTGCACAAGATAAGATAAGAACACAACTAGAGGTTTGATTCTGAAAATAAAAAGAGGCTTTTCCTCACATGGATGAAACATATTTTCTGTGATGGTGCGCGTCAGACGGAAGGCTGACTCACATTCTCACTGATCCACAACATAAACGTCTCGACTTCCTAAATGACACCTTCACATAAACATCCACACAGAAGGAACACTCTGCACACAAACCTCTGATTTTCTTCTCTTTCGGCAGGAGTCATGGTCTTCTTTTGCTTAAGGTGCTCGATTGCAGCGTTCTGTTTCATAACCACCTGAAACAAACAACACAGGAAGGAATGAGCACAAACTCCCTTTTCTTTTAAATAACAGATGAAACTGTTTAAAGGCTGAGATTAAATGGTTACACTACAGAAAACTAGACAACATCCAGAGGAAAAGCAAAAATAAACTTATTCCTGTAGGCAGCAATTGTTTTTTTCCCCATGAATATATAGTAGTAATACAGGAGGATCTTCACAAACAATAAAAAAAGCTTTTGTGTGACATAAATTAGGATTTGTCCCTAATTTAATAACAAGACTGCAGGAGTGTTTAGAACAGCATCTATTCTTAACATGATAAGAAAAAAAAGTCACATTTATTGAAAATAAACAGGCAAATATACAAATTCAACTAGAGAATTTCCATTTCCTGCAAAAATGCAGCACGAATGCTTAAAGGGCTCGACACACGGGAGGCGACGTCGCTCACTCTCCATTCATTTCCTATGGAGCCTGTACGGTGAGGCGACAATCGCTTGCCCTCCTCCAGCTAAGCGACCGCCGAAAATAGTGCATGTGAAATTTCACGCTCGTGCACGTAGACGTGCACACGCGAGCTTGCGACGCGACATATGAAAGTTGAAAAATGTTCAACTTTTGTCGCTGTCGCTTAGCGTACAATCAATCAGCGAGGGTTTTATTGACTGACCAATGAAAGGAGAGTATGCTACACACTGCAGTTAGCTAATACTTTCACCAAGTGATTACTAAAAAGCTTTGTGGGAATTTATTGGCACCAGGGTGAAGTTTATGGTAAGTTTTTCCTCATAAAACTGTATCTTGATGTGTGTTTGTTTTTCAATATCATTAGCATCGCAAGATTTGTTTAGTTTACACGTCCGTAATGCACACCCAGAGTAGAACCAATCAAATTTTGTAAAGACAAGTGATCTGAGAGCGCGATTCGCAACGCTGTGATCGCTATCGCGTCCCGTGTGTCGGGTTTTCACCCTGGCTGCGATGACAGCTGTTAATCGCTGTAGTTTGTCGCTGCCCGTGTGTCGAGCCCTTAATGCTGATTTTTGCAGATAAAAAAGCAGTACAAAAATGTTAATTTGTTGTAAAATTTGCAGAAAAGTAGTTGAAAAGTGGACTCTAGCACAAGGAAGCAGAAATGATCAAGAAGGTGAATTTAGCTGAAAAAGAAAAACTAAAAATACCTGAAATGGCTAAAAAAATGCTTAAATGGCAGAAAACAACTGAAAGAAGTATACAAAGCTTAAATGATCAAAACAGAATTTGACTGAATACAAATAAATAAATAAATAAATTGGCAGAATAGCAAAAAAGAGCATTAAGATAGCCAATAAAAAAGCAAGGAAAAATATCTAAAAATAGCTGAAAAGCCTAAAAAAATTGCTTAAATGGTAAAACAAGATTAAAATTATAATTGCTGAAATGCCAAACGTCATAGCTGGCATGTCCTGAAGGAGCTGAGCATTTTGATGTATAAATTGTTGAAATAGCACCATAATTGTGTAACCAAAGAGGGGAAAACACGGATCATCTCAGTGGTGTGAAGCTTTGTAGCATTCACACAATCACAGACGGTTTGTGCATCAGTCCTGGGAGGTTTGAAAACTCTAAAAGACAAACAGTGTTTGTGTACGTGACAGTGGGTTGTGTCAGTGACTTCCTGCACGCACACACCTGTTTCTGAATAATGTCGCTCTGGTTGACTGCGTTAAGGGCGAGCTCTCGCTTTGCTTCGGCAGCTTGTCTCTTCCTCTGCTGCTGCTGCTCTCTGAGCTGCTGGATCCGCTGCAGTTGCTCTTGGACAGACGCTGCCTGGATGGTAACTACATTTCCAATCTGGACAGAGGTTCGGATGTGGGAATCAAAATGTGCCAGTTGGAATTTGTTTAAATGTAATTTAGTTTGGTTCGGGTTAGCACGACCCAGAGGCTGCACTCAACGAGCGTCTTGGTACTGGAGAAGAATCACTTTTAGTAACATCAAAACATATTTAAGGATTGATTGAATTTGTTCTTATTTTACAAAATAAAAGCTTCTTAGAAAGTTCCTAGAAAGACAGCGTCTGTTAAGTTGAAGTAACGCTGGTTTTGATCCAGTACCTGTCCACCCTGAGCTGAGGTGGTCCCACTCTGTTGTATCTGGATGGGAAGCTGCAGTTTGATGTGCTGTGGCAGAGCACCTCCACCCTGCTGGTTCTGTAGCTGGGCCAGAACCTAAAAACATCAAAAGGTGGAATATTTCAGAAAAAAAAAACCAACAACCAGAACAGTTTATCCACTGATAGCAGCTGAGCTGTGGAGCTGCAGCTCAGCTGCAGTCATCCCTGCACCTGCTGCTGTATCCCAGACATGCTGATGATCTGGGGCGTCTGCTGCAGCTGCATCTGGGAGGCTCCCCCCTGAGCTGTGACCTGCAGCGACGTGGGAGACTGGATGGGCATGTGGGCCTGCGTCTGAGTGGGTACCTGGCCCTGAGGGGCAGCTGAGGACAGGGAGCTAGCGGTGGACAGTGGCGATGCCCCAGCCTGGACCGGAGCGACAGTCTGCTGCCCGGGCTGGGTGGAGGCTTTGTTGTGGGTGGAGGCCGGCTGGCTGGAAGCTGCGGTGGCTGGACAAAATTTAAGCAAAAGGAAATATCAGGAAACTAGTGATAGAATATTTATTAGTGTTGATCAGGGATGTTGTCCCGAGAATTGTGGGGAATTCCCAAAGTCCCGGATGCCAGACAAAAAACCCCCAGCTAGTTTTAGAAATAGCTTCAGACAGCTTTCACACTACAGTTGGAGAATGCAAAGATGATGATAATGTTTTGAATAATAATAATAATAATAATAATAATAATAAATTTAATTTGTAACACACTTTGTGCTACAAGTGGCGGAATATAAAAGATGTAAAATTAGGAACAATAAAAACCACTTAACTTCATATTCTTTGTGTTCAAATACTGAACTACTGCCTACAACGTCTGGTATATTACAACTTGCAGAAAAGTTTCAATATGCATGCTGCTTTACTTTTATTTTCTAAAGAAAAACAATTCAAGTCCATTTCTTTTGATTCTTGTTCTCACTATTGCAAGTCTCATAGTAAAAATGCTTCATAGATACCATTTTTTCTGCTGTTTTTTAATTGGCGTTAATCACAACTACAGCACTGTGTTGTACTTGTTCAGCTCGACTGACATCCAGGTACATGCTGATGTCACATACTGTGTAGAGAGCTATTTTTAGTAACCCTGACCAGCGCTATTGTTCTAAATGTTAAATTTTGAAATTTAATTGAATTCATTTATTCATTTCATTTATAAATAAAAAAATTTATACACAAAAAATAAAAATAAAAATCACACTTAAAATGAAAGGAGGCAGAAAGAAGAAAAAAAATCTTGTAATATCTGCCCCTTTTTTCCAAATTTAATTTCAAGCAATAATGATCAAGAAACAAAAGAAAATAAAAACTTCAATTCCCTTTCAAACAACTTTTGATATACCGTAATTATACAATTTCATATTTCTTTAACAAACATTTTTATCATTCTCTTAAACACATTTAACCAACATTTTTATAAACACCTTCCAGATTATTCCACAGTCTTATCTGTCCTTCAAGTTTGTTCAAATTTTAGGTTTTATAAATATCCCAAGTCCCTTAAGATTATATAAACTTTCTCTCGTAACAAAATATAACTGGATGTTTAAAGGTATTTTTTTATGAGCCTTATACATAATCTGCAAGATATTATAATGAACCAACTCATAAAATTTTAATAATTTTAATTTACAAAATAATATATTCGATGGGTGACAGTAATGTTTTCTGGTGATGATTCTGACGGCCTTATACATAATCTGCAAGATATTATAATGAACCAACTCATAAAATTTAAATAATTTAAATTTATAAAATAATATATTTGATGGATGACAGTAATGTTTTCTGGTGATGATTCTGACGGCTGTTTTCTGTAAAATAAAAATAGGATTTGTGATTGTTTTACATGTTTTAGCCCAGACTTCAACACAGTAAATCAAGTGTTGAACAGTTATTGCATTATATCATGTAAACAGTGTTTTATCGTTACATAAGTTATTCAGAAGCTGCTGAAATGCTCAGTTTCAAAAATATAACCAGTTTTTTTTAATCTAAGATGAAGTTTTAGTGTTTGAAGCCAAACATTGCTTTACAGATCTTTAAAAACTGTTTCTCCCAGATAACGGAAACAAGCCAAGCGAGTCGTCTGGGAACCTGATGGTCATTGCTGCCATGGAGCAGATCAAGCAACAGATCGCTCGAGAAAACATCCACTTTGTGCGGTTTGAGGCGACTGATCTCCATGGAGTGTCCAGGTCCAAGACCGTGCCTGTCCGCTTCTTTCACGTAATGAAGTTTGTCAGCTTCTTCACACATTTTACACATGAGTAATGTCAAAGACAAAACCACGTTAAAATGTTCACTTATTTGCACTAGTTAGTACTTTTATAAAACTCAGAACTAACTAAAATATCTAATTCTTGGTCTTTGATCATACCTTCAGTTCAGAAGCCATGAGCTGGTTTTCTCAAGATATCCCAAAACAATTTCTTAATTTCCTGAAGGTTTTTGTCAAGATGACTGGTTAATTTCCCAATGGTTTTGTTGAGATAACCAGTTAGGTTTTCTCTCGTGCCTCATTCTGTAACCATGAAGATGGCCTGGTCCCCTCAGCTGATCACCCCTGAAGATTAATCTTGGACAATATCTGATGATCGACTCTTTTAAATGAAACCAGAGAGGAGAAGGTAGAAATGACTCAGCCTGGAACTGAAAATATGGATGGAGGACAACAGGTTAGCTTGTTAGTTTGTCGCGCTAGCACCGAGATAATGCATTTAAGACAATACAGCGTTGGCGCTAAAGCTAACAGGCTAATCTGAGGTTGTTCTTCCATGAAGCAGCTCTGTTGTCCTCCATCCATATTTTCAGTTCCAGGCTGAGTCATTTCTACCTTCTCCTCTCTGTCAACGCTCNCAACTCATAAAATTTTAATAATTTTAATTTACAAAATAATATATTCGATGGGTGACAGTAATGTTTTCTGGTGATAATTCTCTTTTCTGTTAAATAAAAATAGGATTTGTGATCGTTTTGAAGGATTTTCCCCAAACATCAACACAGTAGATCAAGTGTGGAACAATTATTGCATTATATAATATAAACAGAGATTTATCATTAAATAAACCCTTTACTTTGTACATTGGTGCAATGGATTTGGCTATTTTTGTTCCTAAATGATTTATATGGGATTTCCATGTCAGGTTTTCATCAATAATGAACCAGAAACTTCACCTCACTGACTCTACAGATCTCAACACCATTGACTCTAAACGGAACATCAACAGTTCTCTTTCTATTAATAAATATCATATAATTAGTTTTATCCAAATTTAATGACAATTTATTACGTTTTTTTTATTAAATGTTGCATCTGGTGCAAAAATTAAAAGTCTTATTTCTCCGAATGCAAACATTTCTGGTTTGTTTTTTTTGTACCTGTGCTTGAAGCAGGTGTAGCTGCGGAGGCCAGCGCGGTGAAGAGGAAGCGCTGCACCTGGCCGTTGGGCAGCGCTGCCTGCATGAGTTGTTGGCCCGGTCCTGGAATGACGGTGACCCCTTGGGGTATCAGCTGCAGCTGGCCGGTGGTCTGACCCTGGCCTTGAACCATCACAGTCAGAGCCTGAGCGGAACCACCGACGCCGGTTAGTCGGTCCGAACCCGCCTGCTGCTTCTGTCAGGAGCACAGACAAAACCTCATCAGCCACACACTCCACTCTATTTACAGCCGATCTCACTCCTCAGAACTGATGAACATAAAATAAATACAGTATATTTGCACCATCATGGCCTTTTTAAAAGATTTCTGCAATAAATAGTCCCCTATGAAAGGTGTTCCTTTCTAAATTTCGGGGCAGCACAGACCAGAGCTTCTCCACCACCAACCTGAGTGAGCTGTGCCAGCTGGGCCATGGTGAGTTTGACCTGGCCTTGGCCCGGTGTCCGCGGGGTGCTGGGTGGCGTTTGGCTTGCTGCCTGTCCCCCTGCGTTGGGGCTGGCAACACCCTGACCAGTTCCTGTGGTGACCGAACTGGCAGCAGATATCGTAGTGGAAACTGGCTGGCCACGGATGATCTGTGTCACTACCTGTTGTCCACCCTGACCTGTGGAGATACAGGACGCAAACTAATGAAGCAGGAACACAGTGGCTCACTTTCCCATCGGTACTACTGACTAGAGATGTCTGATAATATCGGCCTACAGATATTATCGGTCTGATATTAGCATAAAAATGTAAAATATCAACATATCAGTATTGGTTTTTCTTCTGATAACAAAAGCCCGATCGATAAATTAACGGCTGGATTTGACCAAAATGTGTTAATAAATGCTTGTGGTCCAGAAATGTTGGCGCACGATTGATGACATCATCAAATTGGATTTTATCAGGGAGAGCATGATCCAAACTATTGTTTGAGACAAAATGTTAAAAATAAAAATGGCACTTTTTCCATAACTTCAGTGAAATGTTTTTTATTTTGTACAATGTTTCCATTTGGAATGCATCTAGTGGGGTATCAGAGTAAAAGCAGGCAGAGTATCCCTGACAGGAGATATGGGATGTGATGTCACCTTAATATCGGTTCGTAATATTGGTTAATATTGGAATTAAGTGTTGAACAATATTGACATATCGAATGTGGGCAAAAAGTCAACATCGAGCATCTCTAATCCTGATGTATCTTTATCGCCGACTCACACAGAAACGAGGTGTATTTCAGAAAGAAGGAAACAGACTCAACAAATGTGTGAAAACTGAAAACACAATAAGGGTTTAATACCTTGCTGGACCACGAGGGGCGTACGAATAATCGTCTTTCCAACCGCTCCCGACTGCTGGATCGGGGTTCGGATCATTGTCATTCCTGGACAGATCTGACCGCTTCCTGGCAGAACCTGGAGGATATTTTTGAAAAGAAAATGAAAATTTATATTTTAGAGGCAGCAGCAGAAATAAAGTATTAGTTTTGTTAAGTATATATAAAAACTTTAACTTAAAAAATAAGGGATGTAACTATTTGTCCAAGTCATGGATCAGTATGTACCTAGGTATAAGGGTTTATGGTGAGTGGGGATGGATAAAGAACCCATATGAGCGAGAGCCTCGTAAGTGGGCCCATTGCTCTCCCAAAAAAAGAAGACACTGAGCTTTATTCAAACCTTTATGTTCCTTGGATGAAGAACACAAAGTTAGAAACACTCGGTGTTCTGAGCTTCTCTGGATCCACAAAGGGGTCCCCAAGGATTATTTTCCTTTGACTGATCAAAGCCAGGCAGTGGTCTAAGTAGTGCAAAGAGGTCTATAAATCTATGACTATTGTCATGGAGTGGTTGAGCAGGTTGTGCTCAGTTAGGACTCCAACCAAAAATTTGGTCTGTTTATCAGTTCCTGTGCCTATCTACAGTCCGTCGGTATAAGAGTTACAGTTTGGTGCAACATGAAAAAGAAACAAATGATAGGTGCACTTAGAAGTAGAGACAAAAAGCAGGTCATGTACTGTAATGCAGGATTTGTCAGCTGGTAAATTCACTGTAAAATAAAAAAAACTAACTCTATACCGTCTTATCTAATTTAAATGGGAAACAGTAGGTCACAGGCCACGAAGTGCAATAAAAACACCAATAAAAATAGTAACAAAACAAAAGTTTGGACCCAGGTTTGTACCTGCTGTTGGGAACCGGGAGTACTGGGCTTGATATTAAGCGTGGTAGTGCGTGGCTGGAATGTGGTGTAGGTTTGGGAACCACCTGCCGTACTGGATGGGATGATGCCCAACACTTTCTGCTGCACCACGCCTGCAAGAAAAGAAAAAGCACAATGTTCAAGTTGAAGACAGAATTAAAGACAACGAATGGTTAAAAAAACCTTGTGAAACCTTAAATAGTCAAGAATAAATAGATAATATGTAATAGTTAGATATCAACAAAATTGTTAGAAATAAAGAAAATGTGAACAATAAGGAAACTTTGTTTGAAAACCTGTATTTCCAGCAAACGTATCATAAGATACCTTTACTCTAAATCCAACGCACATTCTTTAATATTTACAGATAGAAACATTAGATATTCAAAGACCTGTAATACAATTACTGATGCTACAAGTAAGTAGTTGTTCAGACATTCTGTCAAAAACCCAACCTCAGTTATTTGTAGGCACCTCACTTCGCAGAAGGGCTGGCTTTTAACCACAGTATTTGTAAATATTAGTCAAGCAGGTAAAATAAAAAAAATCTTCAAAGGCTGGCTGAAAGCTTAGTTGAGTTTCCCCCAACATACCTGAACTCCCACATAAATGATGCATGAATTCTACATCTTAAAACTGGAGTCTGACAAAGAGGGCATTTCATATTTGCTCCCTGCCTTCATGAGCTCACGTGAAATGGAATTGGAAACCACAAATGTCACTTTTTTTCTTCTTTTTGCTGCCTTTTTTTCCCTGAGGTTCAGCAACCATTACTGAGCGGGTAAGCCTTTACACATCAAGGGCTTCCCTCTTCAGACCAAGATGTTAAGCCCGCTTGTAAGCCCAGAGAGTTGCTGCTCTGGTCACACATCAAACACGCTTTTCTATGAACTGGTTGTTTTAAGAGCCCGAGGAGTCAGGACCTGAGTGAGTGGAGAGGTATGGTTTTATTGAGAAGGAAGAAGGGGGGGGAAAAATATATGGAGTCCTACTATAGAGGGCTACCTGTCTGGGAAGCAGACCTCAGGGTAAACTTGTTTTCCTACCTAACTTCCTTAAGCCTTTCCAAAATAAATAGAGCACCAAGCAGCCGAGCTGGGTAAACACACACGTCCATTAAATGGTTACACTCCACCTGAACTTAGATTCTCCTTCATGATGACTTCAAAAGAAAGAAAAATCCCTTCCTTTGTATCCTTGTTTAGGATGAGTCTCTTCATTTATTGACTGCAGAGCATTCTTGAAATTAAAACCCATTTTATCCCATTTTTACAATCTTTAAAAATTCAAATTTCATGTTTATTCTCTACAATTCCATGGTTCCTACAGTTTAAGGCAAGTTAAATTTAAGACCTTTTTAATGCCAGGTGAAATTAAATTTAAGACCAATTTCACAAACACAAAGGACAAAACAACAAAAACAGCAGAAACTCACGAATCAAAGCATTTTTGGTTGAATTATTCAAATTTTGCTGATAGACCAATTGTTTTCATCCATATCTAACTGCTTTTTTGTCAAATATAGCAAAAACATCCAGTTTTAAAACTAATTTAATTCCTGGAAATCCTCTAATGACCCAAAATTTGTTGTTTTAGGACCCACAGTGGGTTCTCAACCCCAGTTTGCTGTAGATGAAACCTTAAAGTGCCCGTGACATCAAATTTTTGTGAGAAACATGAATGCATTTTTGGAAAGACATTATTAACAGATTACAAAACAACTGTCACAGGAGTGACAAACAAACAGGAAGTGATGTCAAAGGAGAATGTCCATCAGTCATCACTTATTATAGTCATCCTACTTACAGTGTGTTAACATTTTTAAGACTTCTGAAGATTGATTTAAGACTTTTAAAGGCCTTCTTTTTGGATTGATGAATTCAAGGCCTTTTAAGACTTTTCAAGGATCTGCGGGAACCCTGAATTCTCTCAACTTAAATCAAGTTAATCTGTACAAAAGAAAAAAAATTGTATAGGTCTTCTGGACGGGTTCTTCTCTAATGAAACGTWTCGTCTCTCCTCCAAGAGACTTCTTCAGTCTGAGAGTTTCAGGCAAAATTCAGGCTTTTAAGCACTGCCTCCATGTGAAAGATAATCACACACACGACAGGCCCTGGAGCAGTGTGGTTATCCTGACTGGGCTTTCCTGAAAGCAGACAGGAAACACAGACAGGATTCCATGCAACCTTCAGGTGAAAATGAAGACCCCAAACCCAGACCCAAACCAGTGGTTATTCCGTATGCTGCGGGTGTTTCGGAGAAACTGAGACGTTTATTTTCTAAACATGATGTCCCAGTGGCTTTCAAACCCCAAAACACATTACGGCAAAGGCTGGTTCACCCCAAAGATCCGGTGCCCCGGCACAAACAGAGCAATGTTGTATATGCTGTTAAGTGCCAGGAGGACTGCGACCAGTTATACATCGGGGAAACAAAGCAGCCACTGTTCAAAAGAATGTCCCAACACAGACGAGCTACATCTAATGGCCAGAACTCTGCAGTTTTCACTCATTTACAGGCCAGCGGTCACTCTTTCAGAGATGAGGATGTTCTCATTCTTGATAGAGAGGAACGTTGGTTTGAGAGAGGAGTAAAAGAAGCCATTTTTGTGAAGAAAGACCGTCCATCATTAAACAGAGGTGGAGGCCTCCGTTTTCAGTTGTCCCCCTCCTACAATGCTGCTATTGCCAGTATCACTCCACCCCCTGTTAACAATAAGTGTTAATTAGGTGTCAAAGATAGCCATGTGATGTATCAGTCACATGGAGGCTGGGCTTAAAAGCCTGAATTTTGCCTGAAACTCTCAGACTGAAGAAGTCTCTTGGAGGAGAGACGAAACGTTTCATTAGAGAAGAACCCGTCCAGAAGACCTGTACAAATTTTTCTTTTTGATTTTTTTACCTGGATTACTGAGATGCATCAGGACATTAATCTGTGAACCTAAAACGGCCCGCCCACGTAACAAACTGAGTCAACACTATAAATGACAGACAATTAATGAGCAACATTCTCCCTGCTGTAACTTCACAGGCCTAAGCAAACCTTCGTCTCATTTAGAATAAACATATTCAAGTTAAATGAAGCGCATGTAAGTTCGAACAGATTAAGAAAATTAGGGTTGTAACACAACCAGGATAAAGCTGCTAAGCTAAAAAAAAAACATTTATTTATAAAGTTATAAAATGCAAAAGGAATGCATAATTTAAGGCAAATGTGTAGAGTTTTAAAATGAACTTTTCAGGGATCTGTGTGCAGTTTTTGGCACACCTAAATGTTTACAAAGGTTTTTAGACGAAAATGCTGGATCTAATCTCGAACACATCTTAAACGTCTCAGGTGTGGTGAGGTGAAGCAAAGAAAACTAACATACATGCATCCTGAAATCCTTACTGAAAGAAAGTAATGAATACGCCGACTAAATGCAACTTGTACCCTCTCTCTTTGCGGTGTGACTTAATAAAGCCAACCGTACCTCCTTGTGTCGTTGGCACGTTAACCGTGACGATCTTGCTGTTGGCAGGCAGCGGCAGCTTTGTGGTCACCACCTTTCCACTGGCCGACGTTCCTGTTATGTGTAACGTATGTCCACTAGATGTGGCCACCGTGGTCTCCGCACCCGCTCCTAATAAAGTAAGCAAACACAAAATAGGAAAATAGTGTTTGTTACCGTAAACCTTGTTGTTATGCATTAAATTTCTGACTAAAATCATGTAGGAACCCAACAGTAGAGACTAAAAAGTGAACCAAAACATTTCAAGGTCACATGATAACATAAATAGCAGCTAAATAAAGTTGTGAATGCCTTTTTCAGTGTTTCCCCTGGAATATTGGCCTGGGTGGTGGGCGTTTCAACATAGAATGTTGATTGACAGCAGAACTATACTAGTATTTATTAAAAAAGAGTGCATCTTTTTAAAATAAAGCAGAGCGTGAAAGAGTCTGTAATTTAATTAGCATTAGTTGAATCTTATAATTCTCCCTTTTACTAGAATGAATGTGTGTGTTAGGTGAGGTGGTCCGTTTTGTTTGACAGGGTGGGCCGCACTCCTTGTACACCGATAGGGGAAACACTAAGGTCAGCCTTTCCCTGATTTACCTTGTGAGCTTTGACCCTGTTTGACCCAGGTGGCGAACGACTGCTGGAAGTTTTTGTTCTGCTGGAATGTGACGGGGGTGCACATCTTGGTGGACAACACCACTTTGGCACTGGGGGTGCCCTGGCCCGAAATGGAGCCGACGATGACCTTTGGTGAGGCAGCGGGCGTTGCAGCGGTTCCTGCTGGTGTAGCTGTGACTGACCCTGATTTCTGTTCAAGACGTTTCTGAGATGAAACAGAACATTGCACAGAATGAGACAGACTTTAAAAGAAAAGGTAACACTTTGAACCCTATATAAACAAATAATTTTATTTTTATTCATGAATTCCCACACACAAAGGTCTTGCTTAAATTAACCAAAAGATCACGTGTTTTTTTATCAATCATCACATATCAGCTGAAGAAAAGCAAACTTACTTTTGCCTGTTCTGCTGCCTGAGCTTTCTCTTTCTCCACCCTGAAAAATGAACAAAGAAATTTTAATATTTGCAGTACACCAGAAAAATAAATGCATGTGAAAGCTGTTTTTTAGTCATCAAGATATACAAAAAAAAAAAGAAAAAAAAAAAGAATAAAGCTGCTTTAGAAAGTTTGGCATGTTGAGATGAGTTATCTTTAGCAGAGATGAATGGGATCAATCTTGTGCCAGCAGGAATTGAATTTGAATTGCTCAGATTGAATCTGAATGTGCATAATTTGAAATTGAATGCATTGGTTTGAAAATGAATTTTACTAAATTGAAACTGAATTTAAAGTTTTGTATCTGAATTAATTTGCTTTGAAACTGTATTTTGGTTGATTAAAAATTCAGTTTGACTACTTTCACTTTTAGTTCCATAATTCAGATTTTTGTATCACATGTTTTTGAGAAAGCCAGCCAGAGTAATCAAACACAGATCCACAGATTTATGTTTCACTTTGGTGAAGTTTCCCTTCTGTAATGTAACAGAGTTGATGCAATCCACTGTAAACGTGACAAAAACAGACAAAGTTATTTTATTGCAGTGATTAATTTGATCTATATATAGAAAATGTTACATTTACATCACATCATGGATCACATATTGATCAGATGATGCTGCTGACTGATCCATGATGTGATGTAAAATGTAACATTTTCCATAGGTAAAATTAATCACTGCAATAAAATAAGTTTGTCTGTTTTTGTCACTTTTACGGTGGATTGTATCAACTCTGTTACATTACAGAAGGAACGATTCCCCAAAGGGAAACTTTATAAAGGACCAGGATGTGACACAAAAATCTGAATTATGGAACTGAAATTGAAAGTAGTCAAACAGATTTTTTAATAAACCAAAATACAGTTTCAAAGCAAATTAATTCAAATTCAAAACTTTAAATTCAGTTTCAATTTAGTGAAATTTATTTTCAAACCAATGCATTCAGTTTCAAATTATGCACATTCAGATTCAATCTGAGCAATTCGAATTCACTTCCTGCTGGCACAAGATTTATCCCATAGAGACGGCATCACATTTGTGGGAATATGGCTTAAGCCTGGTTTATACTTCAATATGATGTGAGCCAGCAGATCTGTGTTTACCATCATTTCGGGCGTCTTTTTTTGAACGAGTATAAATGGGTTGAAGACGTGGCAGGGAATAAATGATCATAATTTCTCCTCTGCCCTCTCAATGTAACATGTAAAATGCATATCTAAGCAGATAAACAACAATAGTGATGGCAAGACATATAGTTTTGTTCACTCAACAATGTATCTGTGTTGGGTGAGGAGTCGCAGGAAGAAAGCTGTTTATCTTTTCTTGTTTTTGACAGAGCTGGAAAGAAGGCAGCAGGTTCACATGCTCAGTAGGCTCAGACCAGCTGCTCGTCAGCTGTGCATCTTTCTAATTCAACAACCGGCTTCTGGGAACAGATTATTTTCAGAAAAATGACATGCAGGACACGTTGCTCAGGGTGTTGCTTCACAGTGCTGCACTGCTTCAAATGAATCTGACTGGAGTAAACGCACACGGCAGGTTTTTACCCAGGAATAATAGATGGAGTTTACTCTAGAGCTGTACCAAACGATTATTTTCTAATCGATTAATCTAACGATTATTTTTTTCGATTGATCGATTATTCCAACAACAAATCTATACGTTATTCTGATGCGAGTGCACTGGAAATTTAAAATGTTTTCATCAAATTAACAAGAACAGTTCTTTAATATTGTAATATTTTCTGTAATAGTTTTTTCATGAACACAAAATATGCACTCTAGAGTCAATTCTTTAACAAAAAAAGCTTAAAAGATTTAACATCAACATAAAATCTCAACCAAAGCATATTAAATTCAACTAAAAGAAATATAGTGCAAGATGTTAACAATCTAACAAATGAACTAAATCATGCAAAATTCAAGTCACTCTGGAAAAACTATAATAAAC